CTGGGTTGCCTTGAGTATGTGGGAATGGAACCACCGCTCAAAGAAACTGACTGCCTCCTTTAAGCAGGCACTTAAACAACTGAGCTAATGGGCGGGCCCCCTCAATAGTACTAAATTTTTAAACCACTATCAAACAAATTAATTCCCTACCTATACCAAGGCAAACTAATTGACTTTTCTTTATGATCTTTCAATCCTTGTCCAAATGTGCATATTATTATGCATTTTTCTATTGCCGAAATCACTATTATGTGCTGCTTTTATCTGCTAAATATCCTATCAATTTTCAGTCACTAAACAAGAGCCCATCAGATTTTATCCGCAAAGTATTTCTCCTTATAGGAATAAAAGAAAAAGGAGGAGATTATGCATCACGCTCCCACTTGTACCATCCTCACCCAGCCTCTACTCAGATGTACCCAGATTTCTGGTTATCGAGTTGTACTGCTCTCAAAGAAATAAATTAGGAAAGATCGCCAGGCTGAGCGTCAAGAGGCCTGAGTTTTGTAATGCGATAGGGAATGCGTGTGGCCTCTGGCTACAGACTTGCTTACTCTAGGTCTATTTCCTCTTTTGTTAAATAAGACACTCCGGCCCTTCACTGTCTCTTTCGGTCACCAAGTCTTAGGCAGTGTGACTAGCAAGTGGTTAAGAGCCACAAGACCTGCGTTCCCGTGACTGCCATGGGACGTGGGGCGGAGGCTGAGGCAGGCGCAGGGGCCCGGCTGCCCCAACTGCTCAGATCTAGCAGACTCTGCCAGAAGGCTAAGAATGTCCAAGTCATCAACCAGTCTGGTGCTCGAGGACTGCATAAAAGTCGGTGGAAAAAGTATGCCAAGCGTTCTAGCCAAGAGATCCCGGATTGCTATTTCCAATACCGTCACTCAAACGTGAGGGTGTGCGAGTGCGAATCATGCCCAGTCACTGCGGAGATTAGGAGTCCCCACAAAGGTGCTCCTGTTCTACTTAGTGCCAAGTCAATCAAGGGCGGGCTCACCGCTGGGCTCACGCCCGCGCAAAGGTCACCGCGGATCCCAATAAGGATGCCGCCGGCGCCGCCAGGTGCTCCCCGCCGCCAGCTAGCCCGCCCGCGCCTGCCCCTGCACCTGCGGCTCCAGTTCACTCACCGGTGGCACGTGTTGCGCTGAAGCGCAGGCAACAGCCGCGGCCAGAAGGGCAAGGTTGAGGCGGCTCCAGCTCAGCATCCTTCCAGCAGCCACCCAGCTCCTCCACACTTCCTCAGAGGCTGCCAGCTGCTTCACCTGGGCGGGGAGAAGCGCGGCGGGCGATCGGGCCGCACCATGCCAGGCGGTAGGGGAGGAGGCGAGGGGCAGGCCCAGAAGTGGCGTCAGCGCTCGCCCCTTGGCCGCGCGGCTGCTCGGCGTCCCCCCCCCACGCCTCTCAAGTAATGGTTAGGCCGAGCTTTAGTCCCGCCCTGGCGGGTGGGGTCACGTAAGCGTCCCCGGAGCTGAGGAGGTCGGCTGTGGTGACCCGGCGTGGGCGGGAGGGGTTTCTGGAGTCTCCCGGGCGGGCTCCTGAGCGAGCCCAGGCGACGTCCAAGCCAGTGCCACCCGGTGCCCAGCACTCACGAAACGGACTTGGAACCTCAAAACGTAATGTGACGGTCCTTCTCCTGGCGCTCTCGCAGAGCTGGCCCGAAGTGAGGCCGGTTATTCCTGGGGTCGGGGGAGAAGAAGCGGCTGTCGGGGCCAGGCGGGCGGTCATCTAACCCACCGGGTGCCTCGGGCTGCCAGCGCCCGCGCCCGGCCTTTCAGTGGGTGTGCATGCGCGCCCACTGGACAAAGACTTCAGCTTGTCAGGCTGAGCGTGACCCAGGAGGCGGGAGGTCAGGTGTCCTCCTCCCGAACTGCGGGTAGAACACCGGCGCGGCGAGGGACTCGCGGGCTCCCGCCCCGCCCGGGCAGAGTTGTCTTGGTAAAGCGAGTTTGCCCAAAGTCCAGCAGAAAATCTTCCCTTCAAAGTTCCACTTTCTGGCTCAACGGCACTCAGACATCTCAATAACCAGCATATATATATATATATATATATTAACAGCTTGTTTTGATTCTTTTTTTTTATGATTCTTCATTTAAACTCTGAATGCTATCACAAATATCTCCCTTCACCCCGTGGCCCTGGGGAATCGATGTACTCATCTTTTCTTGTCTTTTCCCTATCCTTCCTTTCTTCCTTCCTTACTTTCTTCCTTCCTACCTTTTTCTGTCTCTTGTATCTCAGTGCCTCTCTCTGTCCCTCCTCCACCCCCGTGAAGGTTGGGAAATTAGAACTTGATGGTTTTTTCTTCCTAGGTTTGGAAAATGGTAAACAACTTGCACATTTTTGAGGGAGGAAGTTTGATTTTTGAAATGAAACACATTCAGGTTCCTGCTTCCACAGTAAGCAAACATAACAAAAGTAGTAACTATTACAGTAGAGAGATGTGGTTGAGCATATCTAGTCTTAGTTACTCCAGAGGCTGAGACAGGAAAAGCACTTGAACCCAGGAGTTTGGAGCCAGCCTGGGCACCATAATGAAACTAATCTCATTTTTTTTGGGGGGAGGGTGCTGGGACCGGGGATTGAACTCAGGCCCTTGTGGTTGCCAGGGAAGCACTTTATTCCACTGAGCCATCTCCCTGGCCTCACAATTTCATTTTCACAAGGTCACTTAATTTTTTAAACATTTCTGTGGACCTACAGTATACCAAACATTTGCCCTGACAATGAAAATAAGCTGGGAATAAGAACACCAAAAAGAAATGCTACTTTCCTTTACAAACTTGGGAAATGAAAAGTGGGCAATACATGTAATACATACAATTACACAAGATATTAGCCGTAAATTCTAGGGAGCACATCAAAGGGAATAGAGTGTGGAGGTTGATGGTAGGGAGAATGACAATTTTAAATAGGCTGGATAGGACAGACATTATTGAAGAGAAATAGTTTGAGCAAAAGAAAATGAGGTAGTTAGGATTGTGAATGTCCAGGAAATTGTATTCCAGGCAGAGGGATCAGCTAGTGCAAAGACTTAAAAGGGAGAATATAGTTCTGTATTTCACAAACGTGCAAGGATTTTGAACATTTTTACCATAAAGAAATGGTATTTGAGGAGATACATATGTTTAACCTGATGTCTTTAAAAGTAAGTGAAATGTTTTAAGTTTGCTGAAAACTAATATGAAGTTCAGCACTTTTAGGACTTTCAAGCTCATTTATATAGAAACCAAAACTGAAGAAATAATTCATACTCATATAAACATGCTTTTTAAAAAACATCATTTAGGACTGGGGAGATAGCTCAGTAGAATAAGCGCTTGCCTGGCAAGCGCAGGGGTCTGAGTTCAATCCCCGGTTCCGCAAAAAAAAAAAAAAAAAAAAAAAAAAAAAAAATCATTTATATGACCAAAACAAAAGGGCCTTTAGCAAAAATTAAGTAAATCTGAATAAAGAATGGTCTTTAATAATTTTTTTGAACAATTTAAGCTGTAGTGGTATTTTCAGCTACAAAAGGAACCAATGTAGCTTGAGTAGAAGACAAGGGAAAAAGAAATGGATGAAGTCAGGTCAGGAGAAGAGATTTTAATAGAGCATTAAAAAGTAAAGCCATATTAATATGCTGAGCTGTAAAAGGCTCAAACAACAGCTTCTGACATTGCCAGTTCTACAGATAACCCACTACTATTAAGGACTACTGGACTGTATTGGATTATTTTGCTGAATTCATGCACCTACAATATTTGAATGGCAATGTAATCTCTGAAAAAGCTAAACAAAAAAAGGATACAAATGAAGGACCATTTTGTATCTGTATATACAAAATAGGATAGTTATACAGCTACTCTTAATTCATTGAGAAGAAAGATTTGTATTAATAGTATTTGGACAGGTTTTGGAAAGTGAAATAGTGTTTGGGAAGATTTGTAGCAATAGTGTTTGTACTATGAATAACCACTATGAAGACAACAATATGCAATGTATTAATTACTGAAACTGACCTATTAATCGGCTTTGAAACTGTCTCATTGCTATTTGTTTCTCAATAAGATTAATAAAAACCATTCAAGGGTCAGCCAAATAGTTTATCGGATTAAAGTCCCAGCAAGCAGGCTCAGAGGCTGGTTTGATCCCAAGGCCTGCCAAGTTGACCCCACCCCTCCCCCCGGGGCACGCTGAGATGGCAATTGAGACTGGGCATGGTGGTGTGCTGGTAATCCCAGCTCTTGGGAGGCTGTAAACAGGTGGATCACTACGAGTCTGATCTAGTAGTGAGACCCTGAACACCCTGTAGACCCTTCCCTAAAATACAAAAAAAAAAAAAAAAAAAAAACATTGTAAGGTGCTGGATGTGAGGGTATGTACCTTAATGCCAGCTCTTGGGGCGGGATAGTGCAGGCAAGATTGTGGCTGTGTGCTCTTGCTGACCCCAAGAAGACAGAGGTGAGAAACTGGAAATAATGGAACAAACTCCATTGACTCACTGGGCAAGTCAGCCTGGGATAGCTGCTCCCCTGCACCCCACACACCAGGAACAATTTCCCATCCCAAAATTACCTACAAAAATGGCCTCGATTTATCTCATGTATGGGTTCTTTGTGCAGCCGCTGCCAATGCACTCTTTGTGTCCCCTGCTTCCGAGGGGAACGGGGAGAGGAAATAAAAAGAATGTGCAGAGTCAAAAAAAAAAAAAAAAAAAAATCCCAGCACTTGGGAGGCTGAGGCAAGAGAATTGCCTTGCGTTCTAGGTCAAGACCCTGTCTCCAAACAAACAAACAACAAAACAAAAACATTATAAGGATCTAGGCTTCAATTCTGGAACATGTATAATACTATGAGAGGATTAGTGTGTTTTTTCCTATTAGAAGATTGATGATTAGGTAATCTGGCAAGATCAGTTTTCTTGTTCTTTGCTATAATACTGGGGATTGAATCCAGGGCCTTTACAGTGAGCAACATCCCTGAAGAATTTTCTGTTTTTTGAGACATCTCACTAAATTGCTTATACTTGGGGTTGTACTTAGGAGCTTCCTGCCTCAACCTCTTAAGAGTGCTAGGATTGCAGGTGCATGCCACCATACTCAACTAAAATCGTTCTTTGTCCAGAAAATATATCAGTTGTGATAATTTTTTTTTCCAGAACCAGGGATTGAACTCAGGCCTTGCACTTGCCAGGCAAGAGCTTATTCTGCTGAGTAATCTTCCCAGTTGTCATATTCTTGTGCACAGCTTTGTGCATATAACTTCTAAAGACCTGTTGTATAGTTTATTCTTTTTCAAACAAATTATAGTTTAACACTTGAAAGAATTAACAACTGGGACCTGCTCTTACAGAGAAGTTTTTGCACATCAAAAGAAATTACCAACAAAGTGAAAAGACAACCACAAATTTGGAAAAAATCATGACAAATAAGGAGTCAGACAAAGGTCTGCTCTCTAGAATTTATACAGAACTAAAAAACACTAGGGCCCCAAAATTTAAAGACCCAGTCCAGAAATGGGCATGTGGGATGAACACACACTTCTCAGAGAATGAAATTAAAGAAGCAAATAAATATATGAAAAAATGCTCCACATC